TTGCTTTTTGTAGACCGTTACCACATGTTACCAGCATCGGCATGTCCATTTCGGACCAACAGTATCCTCTCGGAAAATCCGTAAAAATCGACCATGACGGGGTTCGGGTGAACGCCGGGATGATGCCGTACATGACGATGATCCCGGACGATATCAAGAGCCCACAACACGTGAAGCAGGTCAGAATCACTGTTTCTTTCCGCTTCTTTCCGTTCCGCTGACCATCCGTCGCCGCGTCTCGGGAACGCGCGTCACGCCATTGATCCGCGCGCCGAGAGCTGGCTTCATCCAGTTTCTCTCGTTTGCGCAACGATGATCTTATCGACTTGTGGAAGTGCATTGATCGTACAGATTCTCCCCGGGGGATGGGATGGATCTATGTGCAGAAATGTCATATACAACAAGGAAATGAGGGTTTGGAAATTCTAGAAAAATTTTCAGGAAACGCGCTTGTTCCATCCATCGTTCCCGTCACCATCCGAGTTCGGGCAAGCTCCTCTGACGCCCGAGTCAGGGTTTTACGACGATTATTATGGTCCCGGAGGTGCCTACGCAAATTCGACCACAGCTAGCCCACCTAACCAACTTCTTATGCCTATGCACAGACTGGTATGTCCACAACCAGTAATTTACCCTCTGAAAATAAAAATCTCCTAATTTTAGCAAGCGATGGAAGGTGGAATGATGGCACAATTTTCTGGCCAACAACAGCCACCGACTCAACAGCAGCAACAGCCACCACAGCAACGGCAGCAGCAGTTTTTCGTGCAAACTTCACCCAGTGCGCATAACCCCCAAGAACAGGTGATTTTCCTAAGGTTCAAACGTCAAAGATGGCTGAAAACATCACAAGCATCGAGTTTGGATGAAACTGCTGCGGAACTTTTCCACCTAGAGTGTTCTATTAGGGCGTAAAAACTACGTTCGATTAATAAGCAAACGTTTTTATAAGGAGATGAGTCAAGAAAAAATCACACATCGTATGACACCTATAATTAATGCTTATGTACAGTACAGCTAATTGCGACCGTTTCTGACCTGTTGCTCGACCATGCATGCAAACATTTGCAGATTACAGCATGATTAGGTAGTAATTGTCAATCATATGTTAGTGTTTATACGGGGTTTTGGTTTTGCAGGGTCGTTTTCGAGCTTGCTGTACCTACTGTGAGCGATTACTTGCAAGAAGCATCAGAATGACTAAGTTTTGAA